ATAGAAAATAGATTGAATCATGATCAGTTACATTTGTCTACTGTAAATTCTAGTAGACACAGCACCCCATTAAAAAAGAAACGAATCAATGTACCTAAGATGTCTAATTCGTCGCCAGAGACATCATCATTCGACCAACATAAAGACTCTGGATTTGATGACGATTCACAAGATAAGTTTTTCAAAATTGAAAAATCCAATATAAAAAGTTCAACGAGTCCGAATGTTGCAAAGAAAATTGTTTCCCCTAAACACCCAAAGAAGAGTACTAATGTACCTGATACAAATGATTTGAAAGACTCTAAAGAAGATAAAAATAATACGCATCTGAAAATTTATGACGACTGTTTACTAGAACAAGATAATAAAGAAGTGACGGATATACATTCTGAAGAAGAAGAGATAAAGAATTCCTCTCCTGATAAGGACGTAGAGCTTTCCACAATAAATCAGGAAGGTGAAACGCATTTTGTAAAAGTAGATAAGTTACGTAATATTAAGAAGCAGCTATCATTATCCCCTAAGCAAGATCATACAAAGGATGCAGACTCAAAATCATACGGTCATATTTTAGAGAAGCAAGATAAGAAAACAATAAAAAGTTTCCATGAAAAAGAAGAAATGAAGAATCTCCAATTAAATAAAGATGATAAGGACACAGAGATTTCAATCAATCAGGAAGGTAAGACGCAATTTGTCAAAACAGAAGAATTCCACAATACCCAAAAGCAACAACTGCTGTCTCCTAAGCAAGGACGTTTAAAAGACACACATTCAAAATCTGATAATAATATTACAGGAGAACAAAGTAGCAAAGAAACAAAGGAGTCCTTTGACGAAGAAGAAGTGAAGAATTCCCTTCAGTTAAACCAAGTTCATAAAGATACAGAAATTTCAATAAAGGAGGATAAGATGCACACAGTGAAGTCAGAGAGCGATATTCAAAAACAGTCGTTGCTGTCTCCCAAAAAAGAATGTAAGAATGAGCACTCAAAATCTAATAACACATTAAACGAACGAGATAACAAAGAAGTCAAAGAATTTTCTGAAAAAGAAGGGAAGAATTTCCAACAATTAAGTCAGATTGATGAGGACATAAAGATTTCTTCAATAAAAGAAGATAAGACAGATATAAAATTAAAGATTCATGCGATACTAAAAAATTGCATTTACCTAAAATTACATGTACTGAAATAATCAACACAAAATATAAGATAATAAATATAAAAACTGATAATTTTAACAGCGACATTAAAAAAGTAGATAATATTAATGACACTAATGAATATACTCCTTTAAAAAATAATGCTTCAATCAATCGTTCAAATGTCAATTGGCAAGACGAAGTGATAGACGTAAAAGAAATTAATAATGATACATCAACGGTGGAAACTGATAATGAAGAGGAGAACACACAGAAGAATACACGTTTATCACTTCAAACTCAAAAGCGTCTTCAGCAGCAAGCGAAATTAAACTTGGTTGTAAATAGTGATTCCAGTGACAGCGACAATGCCGAAGATGTCACTGAAATTTCGAGGAAATCCATTAACAATTCCGATGTCAGCCATTGCAGTGAAAATGATAGCCTTAATGATGAGTCTAATCACGCTTGTAAACAAATCGATATTATATCGATAGATATTTCATCCAGCGAAGATATTTGCAGCAAAAAGACTTCAGTTTCCACAAAAGATGTGATTAAACAAAACGCAACGAAAATGAAGGAAGAAATAAAGAAAAAATCCGACAAAACTGTACTCTCAACAAAATGCACGTATGAGAATAGTTCACTTAAATCTGCTGCGAACAAGAATCTATTGAAAGAAACACGGTGCTCTGAAAATGTAAATAATAACGATGAACATGTGGAAGACATTGAACGTTCTTCATTGAGTTCTCCAAAGGATACTCTTTCAGAATTCTCTCTGAGAATTTCTGAAAGTAATGTTTCGTGCAATAATAACAATTCGAATCAATTTTCGAAAGATAATCAATCTTCGTTGGATAAGGAGAACATGCGTAATAAAAGTAATCAATGGGAGCATAGCGTCCGCACCGATGACCTTGAGACTAGCTGTAGGTCTGGGCTCGATATTTCTCACTACGAAAGACCATACAACGTAAGTAACTTTAATCATCAAATTAAATATAAGTTAAATAATAAAATTATTATCGTTACTGTATTAAAGGATGTTTTAATACAGTTTTATCGTGTTTAATACAGCTTTATACATGTTTTATCTTTGCACAGCTGCACAGAAATTACTGTGCGAATATTACCTTGACCTTTTAATTTTTCAGTTGCAGCAATTAGTCGAAGCCCAAAAATTACTTGTGGAAACATTACCAACGAGTTTCACACTGGCGGATATTTCTGATGACGATGAAGCTTTTATCTTAAACATTCCAAATAAGGTAACTGTTGTAAATTTGTATTTGAAAAATTTATTGCATATGAATATTTGTATATTTTTCGCCCTTTTTATTTATAGCCAGGATCTTTTTGTTTCTTTACTAGATGGTACTTATTATACATATATTTATGAATTAATTTATAGGTTCTACAGTACAATTTACAAGATCAATTCCTTACGATAAAGGGGGACACGATAAAATTCGGTAAACATAAGTACAAAATTATGCGAAAAAAAGTGGATACCACATCTTGTGTTTTTGCTACTGGCAAAGAACGAAAACCATATAAAATAGGTAAACAGCTTTTCTTTCTTCCAATTAATAGAAATGTTATGTTTTGTACTTTCAAATAGAAAAAAAAATTTCCTTATAACATAAAAATAAAACATATTCAAAAAATAAATTATTTTTTACGATATGTGGTTTTTTTGAACATATTCTTATTGCATGCTTGAGAGACTAATTTTATTTTATTTTATAGTGAATATTAATGAAATCAGCACTGTTACCGTACGAGAAAGATTGCCTCCTTATTTGGAAAAGTCAGATATATTGGCTTCTCATAGCAATGTTATTTCTACTGAGTCAAAATCACCAAAAATAAATAATCGGCAAACAAACAAAAGAGATTTAAAGTTGAAAATCTCAGGTCACAAGCGTAAAAGATATACTTCAGGTAAACCAAATATAAAACTAATTACTGCAAAGTTGAACTTTTTTTATCAATATAATAATATAATTGTATGTCCTTTCAGATTTTGAAATTAAACAATCTGCGGTCAGAAAAAAACGATTAAAAGTAAGTCATTCTTAAAATTCAAAAAGTCAAAGGAAAGAAAAACTTATGTATTTAGTATAGTTATAAAGTAAGACATATTAAACATACAACATTCTGTTGTTGAGAACTTCACTTTTTATGCGATACATAGCTTTATCATGAATAAATCGAGGGAACAAAAATGAAAGTTTTATTTTGAATTAAAATATTTTTTTTTCATTATAATATTATAATAATTATTATAATAATAGTTGTTATATATAATTATAACATTGTTATTATATATAATTATAATATTGTTATATTATAATTATAATTATATTATATTATAATTATAATTATAATATTGTTATTATAATATTATAATATTGAAAGTATGATTGTAACGAACGATTTTACGTAACGTTTGAGTTTCACTTGATTCATTATCGCCTATACAACAATTTATCAATCTTATATTTTGACTTATTTAATTTATAATATGTACCATATTAAATATTTGCCATATGAATATAATAATTATTATGTGTAATAAGATGGACAAATGAAAAGATTAAAGTACAAATGTTTTATTTATGTATAATTGTGATATTAATTATTGCTCAGAAAATACGATTGTGCAACCACACCAAATAATTTCCCATATTATTGTTTATGACAGGAAAACTCGATCTAATTTTACAAAATTTCAATGATGTAATAATAAAAAGCAATAATTGCCTAAGTTATTATTTATATATATATAAATTCAATATGTTAGATTTATACTATAAACATTAATTATAAACACTAATTAATCTATTAATTTAATTACTGATTTTTCTTCGAGCAGCATAAATTAAATTATTAATCAATTTATAAAAGTAAATTATGCAGTCAGAAGTTATAATACGTCTATAAAATTATCTGCATTTTAATTTGCTATCATTGTGTTACACTTTTATACTTATTTTATAATTTAGAAGAGCGTATGCCCTTTCTGGGGTATTCCTTGAACGGTTTTAATAGAGGATATAAAGATTGACCAATTTTAAACGACAAGATATCCTCAATTTTCTTAATTTCTCCATTGGCTAGCGTATCGGCAATTTTTTCAATTTCGGTATCCGAATTGGTTGTACTTTCTTCCATCGATGTACCACCCGTTGCTGTGGATATCACGTGTATCGACAATTTATGCCGGGCTTCGCCATATATAATTTCCTAAAAGACATATTATTAATTTTTTTCCAATCTCTAAACTATTTCTTTAAAAACTTTATGTAAAAAAATTGTATTCCATATTCACTCATTTTCCCACAAGAAAATATTCTCTTTTAAATTACGATATACTCTATATGTAAAACGACATAAAACACGATAAATTGTAGTTACCTTATAAAAATTAAGTAATTGCTCCCGCGTTATAGTCTTTAAGTAAGCTACTTCGATATTCGCTCTATCGAAGTTGAATTGTTGACTTGAAATTTCGCTCCAAAATATAGCACATTGAGAGCTCAACTTTTTCGGTTTTTCAAGACGCAATGTAGCTAGAGCTTTCTTGTGCCTGTCGTATTGTTCGTCTGACATATCAGATATATGATGCTGAAATGTAATGTAGATAGAGATTAGTTTTAATAGAGATATTTAAGAAATTTGTCCTTCAAAATTAATTCAACTACGGTACTATTACAAGATTTTTATTATAAATTAAAAAACATGCAATAAAGTGTGACTTTAACAATTTACGTATCAACACTTCATATATCACTATTGCTATAGTTTTTTTATACTTACCAGTATAGAATCCATAAATGCATCAATTCGTTTTTCAACATATTGCGGATGTTTGTCACTTTGAACTATAATTCGCAAGCCTTGTGATCCGTTCGTTCTGCGCACACCACTAAATACTATGTAGCCTAATTGTTCCTTGGTTCTTAAAGTATTAAAACAAGGTTCCGAAATAATTTGTGCTAAGAGCTCTAAAAGTATATTTGATTCTGTCGATTGCAAACCAGTTTGATAATATACTTCTGTACATGAACTTTTGTGCAATTTATTTTCCGTTTCAAATACAAAATGGCAGCCTGCAATGAATATATATTGTTACATAATATTGTTGGAAACTTCTTACATTAAATTAATTTATTTATTAATAATCTGCATTTCAAACTTCTAAAAAAATTATTAAGATAATCTTTTCAAATAAATTTTTTAGCATTTATCCTCTAAATGTATCAAGATTAAAGTTTTTTTTATGCTTATATTTTTTTCTTTATAATAATTATATTAATTTAAATTCATCAAAAGATACGAGTGATAAAATCTTTCACATTCAAAGTATATTTTTTATAAATTAATAATTATCTAAGTATATTATCTTTTATTATAAGTAAAATTCGAATATCATAAGCTTACCGTCTTCCAGCTTGATTTCGCGAAACAGTATTAATTGCCTTTGTAATAATGGCATTATATTGGGCAGTGAACTTGTCAATTTAGATTCGATTAATCTAACTACATCTGTAGCTTCTGCCATAGTGATGTTACCATGTATTAAACACTCCACGTGCACCTTACTGAGAAGTTGGAGAACAAACTGTTCAACTCTTTCAATAGTTAGATCTGTAATATAAAGATTTTAATAGTTTAAATATTTAAACACGTTATTTTTCATTAAATATTTAAATATATAATAAATATGTAATCATGTGACATTAGATATATATATATATTATTTAAATTAAAAATTTAATATCTAATTATATATCTTGAATAGCATTGCAATTGATTTAAAAGAAATTTTTAAAAAATTTCGTTTAATTCGTAAAACAAACAAATATCATATACACTTACAAGCAGTTGCTTCCAATAATTCGTCCTTGACCCAAACTTGCTCCGCTAACAAGACTGCAAGATAATAGACTGCATGTTGGTACGGTTGTTCAGCCACGAAATTTTTCAAACTCCTGATATACTGCAAGCCATTCGATATAAGTATATTGTAATTTGACTAATTTAAAAAGACTAATTTTATATCTTGTACATACGTTTTCCTTTAGGATTTCAAATCTCTTCGGATCAATCTTAAAGTTTACCATTCGGTCCATGATTTTTTCTAATAACACACGTTGCTTCTCATCGTAACCACCTATAGCAAGCTAGGAAAACAATAAATCTTTTTCTCAAGTTACAGATATTTTTCAATTTATAAATAATTTAAATATTACTATATGGAAGCAGAGTTGAACATGTGTACAAATACCAAACAACAAATGAAGAATAAGATTTGATTTGCCAAAGTAATAACTAGATAAAAACTTATCCCAATAATGCTGAACTCTGACCACAGATTATACGAGATTTTAAAATATTATTATTTATTATTGTAATTATGTATTTACTCACTATTATTCCATATTTGCTGTTACTAAGCTCCCACTGTAAACCAGCTAAATCAGCGGCATACGCGTATTCATTGAGAGAATCGCGAAATAGCTGGACAAACATATTATTTAAATTGCAACTAATGGGATCCATATAGGCCAACGGACTACAGAAAAATAAAACAAAGAAATTAATTACGCTATACATAATCTTCGGTGATTATGCATTAGTCCAGTTTAATCATTTAATTATTATTCAAGCTTATTACGTACCTGACGAAGTCGAAGATCATTCTAGCTCTCGGTACAAGAAATTCATCATCTTTTTTATACCAAAGTCTTACATATGGTGTATCTTCTATAATAATAGGAAATTTTTCTACCTGCAAAAGTTCAGCAGTTAATACACATAATGATATGCAAACAGTACGATTATATCCATAAGCACTGGCGCGTATCCTTGTGTCACATATATTCGTTAAAAAAATATATTTCAATTTAAAGTTAACTCAATTAACACTTATATTATTACACTTATATTATTATTCAATGTATTTCATAACAAGTTTTGACATAATCCGATTTAACCTTAATGAAAATTTTATTTTGTTGTCACCAGGAAGTGCTCACGGATTAATATTGCAAAAAAAGTGATATTAGTTAATTACGTTAGTTTCATTTGACTTGATATCAAATTTAGTGGCTATAAATTCATTTTTAGAAGGCAACTGCAAATCTGGATTATCGCTAACGTTCTCCCACATGCTGATTATATCCGCCGGTATTTTCTCTTTCTTGTATTTAGTGCCGTACCAACTTTCAGTTTCATTCGCTATACTTTCGTACGCTTTCGCGACCACGTGAATCCTGATATTTTTCGGAGTCAAGTATTTCATGACTTCATCGATTAAGTCCGGCCGCCACTCGGTGTAAATATATTCTGCGCACAGAACTTCGTTCATAGGAAATTCCTGCAGCGCTTGCACCACAGAAGTTACGTAAGAACGAGGCGAGAACTTCTCTTTAAAACGGAAATTCATATTTGCGATGTCATTATATTCCTGAAAATGTAAAAATTGTATTACTCTATACGTGACATATAGATTTAAGATGCGAAACATCCGGTGAATTACGATACAATCAGCAAAAACATATTTCTCATGAGAGAAACAAGAAATCTAAAAATTGCTTTTTTATATAAACCAAAATTTTGCACATAATTTGTTATAAAAAGAAACTTCATAATTAATACAAAGACGTCAGTACGTAGCAAAATATATTTTCTACTTTCTCGCTGATTATACCATAATTTGCCAGGCATTCTGCATAAAAAATTATATTTTATATTTATATTTTAATTTAATCAATTACATTATAGATCCACTCAATCGGGCCCTTCTTTTTAAGCATACTGATATACTGAAACGTCAGTGTAACAATATCGTCGACATGCTTAATACCTTCCTCAGTTAGATCGACAACAACGCTGAAAAAACAGAAGCCTCTGGCGCCACTGCGTTTTCCAGACTCCAGAGAGTTACACCAACCCTTGGCCTTCAAAGCTGACAGTAACGATCCTTCTCCTTCATGTCCCAGTAAATAAGAGACATAATGTGCAGGCTACATCAACAACATATCATATTATTAAATTAAATTATTTACATAAAATAATAGGTAAATAATATTATGTATCATTTTAAAATTCAAATATAATTTGTAAGTTGTATAAAATAATATATTAATACGAAGTATTAACTAAAAGAAAAATTACCGAGGACCGAAAATGTTGCTTCAAATCAGGCAAAGGAAACGTAATGTCTAGGTTTCTCATGTCCTTTATCGGGATAATGTACCACTTTGTACAAAAGTGCTCATCCTTAAACGGATGATCAGGCCACATTGGAACTTCAACTTCCTTGTTTCGTACCTCCGAGAAAAGGTTTATTGCTATATGTTCAAGTTCGTCCAAAGACTCTATAAATATAAAATTTATTCATTAATATAATATCTAATAAACATTATACACCACAAAAATTATTACATCCAATTTCCCACTCAAAATAATTAGATGTTATATTTTATTACAAATTAAAGTTTAAAAAAAACATTCAATTTTACATGTTTAAGAAAAAATGTGGTCTGATCATGATAAATGGATCCTTACGTGATATAATGATATACAATAAATAATAGCCTTACCTTTGCCAAGAATGCACAGTGACATAATATTCGCGGAATAATACTTTTCATGGAAATCGAGTAATCTGTTCCTAACGCTGATGCCCTTTTGCTTTGGTATTATGTCTAACGTTTCTCTATTGCCTGTACCAAATTTCGAAAAAGGATGGTCCGGGCTTGCAGATGATTTGTCCAATTGATCGAACCGCCAAGTATCATTTGACAAATTTTTCTCATGTTCTGAATTGATGGCATTCAACTCCAGTTCGGTCAAGGTCTCAGTGAAAAGAGGCTTTAAGAAAAATTGGGCAAAGCGATCTAAAGCGCCTACTAATTTCGTCGGACTTATATCAAAATTGTAAACAGTGTGATCTACGTGCGTGAAGGCATTGCTCACGCCGCCATTCTGTGACAAATACATATTGTAGTCATTTTGTTGTGGGAATTTTTCTGTTCCCAAAAACAACATATGTTCGCAGAAGTGTGCTAATCCAGGCAGATCATCCGGATCGCACATATAGCCTGTAACACACATTTTATTTCTAATTAAACCAAGAAATCAATAATTTAACAATCAAGCAAATATAAGAATGTATAAAAAAATATTAAACATATTAATTCATCAAGAAAGTTGTTTATGCTTTTCCTATATCACTTGACATTCCATCAAAATTACATTTTAATTTATTTGGTTTAATTAATTAGACATAATTAAATAATTAGATAAATATTTGCTAAGTAATTACTTGCTAATCTTCTATTGTAATTCAGAATCCAATATTTTTAATTACATTAATAAAAAATTAGTGCTTTCTATAATATCTTATTTCTAAAGCAACAAAATAATATGATTAAAATTACCAATATTAACATCCAGCGCAACAGCACTCTTATCGGTCGTTGGATCGCTTATTAAAAGCACTTTCATTTTATTAGACAGCATTAATCCTCTATACGATCTGTCATCATTCTGTGATTTTATTATGCCATCATATCGCTTTTCTATATGTGAAGAAATTGATGCCATATTGCTGACTGTGGCCTCGGATTCCAAAGTTTTACTCCTGCAAACATGATAAAAGAAGCAAAAACTTTAAAATTGGAATAATTATAATTAAAGTATTGAGTAAAGTATTGAGTAAAGTATTGAATAATGATATTAAGTATAAATATAAAAATAATATGAAAATATTAACTCATTAACATATCAAGTTTAATATTAATAGAGCAATAGATCATGTAACTGCAAAATTACATGAATCAAAGTTACAATATTTTATGGAGCAAACTAATTAACTACAGATGTCTAAAAATGCAATTACAATACTTTTCATTGATATTACTCATATATATACTATAAAATTAAATGAAAAATTGATATGATTAATCTTGAGTATTCTCTGTATAATATTAATTTTTAAATATATACTTTTAACAAACAATGTTTATACAAATATGTAATTTATAGATATCAGTTTTTATCTCCTATTCATAAATTTACTGTGCGTGTGTGCGTGTGTGTATATTTCTTCATTTATATTTAAGTCTAAAACTGTACATTGAAGTCATCTTTTTCAAGTAGTTTCTCTTCTTCGTTCTAATTCTTAAGATAACAAGTTAGATTAAAGTTCTTTCTATAGTAGGGCAAATCTTGTAATAGTTATAAGGATAACCTCAAGAAAGAAAAGCAGAACTTTAGTAAATGATATAAAAAGTTTTATAGACATTGACCTCAATGTATAATTTACATTACTGCTCAGTTGATGTACAATGGATCAAATGACTAAAAGACAGAATTCTTACTTGTATTCACAACTCTCCGCAAGTGGAATCTTGTCATTCTCACAAAACGACGCCATCGTGAAATACCAAAGATAAAACTTTGCAATATAATACAACCGAATTTATCTCTTTTCACCTAAATTTCACACGCAACAATAACTTTCAGCGAACGTGATTGCTTTGTGAAAAAATACGTGAACAATGTGTACTTCCTCGTACGCACGTTTTATCTCATTTCCCACGATCAGAAGATAAACAATAGATTAATCTATAAAAAAGTCTATCATATTGTAACGAAAAGGAAAAGATATCATTGAAAAACAACAAGTCACTCGTTACTTTTGAGGTTAGATTTTCGCTTGAACAATTATAATTTCACTGAGCGATTAAATGTCGTGACATTCTCTCGATATTATCGCGAAAGTGTTCACTGAGGGAATTTGCGACGGTAAGTACAATTTACAAAGCTTATTGATCGATGTACACTTCGAATGATGACAGTACAAATACTGTGAGATATCAGGTACGCATAGATCAAGGTGTGCGGATAGTGTGGTCGTGTCTACAAAGAAATGAGTATACGCATACCTGGAAAGTAGAAAAGATCGCGTGGGCGATACGATTAGGATGCGAGATTTTAACGCACGGACGGCGAACATTTGAGATAAATTTGCAAAGTCGAACCATCAAACGAGCACGAGAAAACCGATTACATAGGTATGTCGGTCAACGAGTAACGTTAATGGATAACAATTTTGTTTTAACACTTTAAATGTAAAAATATGTGACCGGCTCCTGTCTTACATCAAAATATAAACGTAAAAATACGTAAGCGGCCGCGAAAATGTTAAATATATATACTTATATAATGCCTCCAAAACTTGTGACATAAATTTGTTGACATAGAACCTTTTTTCTTAATTGACAGCATGTTGAAATTGACGACATAAAAATCTGAGGGATTTAAATTTGGGAACAAACGACGTCATTTCCGCATTAGCATTTCGCTACAGATGCTAAATATGGTAAATACAACATGCGTTTTTTACTTCTATAGTTTAAAATCTTTACTCCGAATTTATTAACCAACTTTTTAATCAATCAACAAGCTATATCTACACAATTTGCACAACTGTAAAAATAAGGACCAATTTTGTGTTTAATATAAATTTACGTGTGTATTATTTTATACATATATATTATGCATATTTGTGTAATAGTACTTTTACCGCGCACAGCGATTATCAATTATGTAGTTCATCTATCACTACAAATCTCACAGGACTAAAAAATAGATGCCGCCACAATGTTAAAGTGTGTTGCATGATATTCAATGATAATTAATATTATTCCGACGTGTATCTCGTAAAATACATCAAAGATTCTATCATCAATCCGACGTTACGCGCTAGTTTTTATAAGACGCTAGAAATATTATTCAATTAAAATCGCTTGTAAGAGAATTGTATACCTGACAATGCCTTTATCTTATATCTATAGATCTGACGCACACAGCTCGCTACACTTATCTATCGATCACTACGTGACGCAAGATAGTTCGAGCGCGCGCCGCGAGGCGCGGCCGGCGGCGTGGCCGCTGATCACTCGCGCGCAGTAGCATTTGTACGCGAATGACGTGCGGATGTGACTGTGGTTGTGACATAGCTCGAGCTCGGCCGACGTACCCGCGATTGCGATACACATACGACACTCCGTAATTTCGAACATTGAAAAGAGAAGAATCACGAGCGCGCGTAGGATAACGCATCTCGCCTGATCCCGCCGAGCAAGTATAGTGCAAGCGAGCGTTCGTGATACGCCGCGCTCGACGAAGTCAAGTGCGGTTACACGTAGAGGTGATATGAAGTACCGCGCGAAGTGAGAAGCGAACGAGATCGACCAAGGCAGGGTGCAACAGCAACGTCCGAGCGACGACGACGACGCTGACAGTGCACCGCTCGCGGGCGGCGCACTGCCGTCTGTGCCGGCAGCCCGTCATCCGTTCCGCCTGTTTGGCTTGCATGCCACGCTCCGACGCGAGGATCGGAGCTCCCTGCTGGCGCGTCGTCGTGCTTATCGAGGTAGGCCGCTTCGCCGATACTGTGCACGTCCCTAGACTGGCGGTAAGTTATCCTCATCGTTCGACTATACCAGTGCGTCGCTTTTAACGCTACACTGTGATTAAATGAATTGTCGACACGACACTGGGCTACAGATCCGTTCGTTTATTCGCGATTTCCTGCACTCCTCGTATTCAAAAGCACACTATGCAACGTATTTGAGCTTTGATGAAAGAAAGAAGAGCACTGCGTGCGAAAAGTGCAACTAAGACGCGACAGACTTCAGATTATAGCCAGTATTCTGATACGAGGACAAACGAGGAATTGAACATTTATCGGAATTAATTGACCCCGGATCCGTTTTTCTCAGTTCTATTCTCTGGTTACTTTTCACACTCAGCACTTTCGACAGAAGCTGATTCGGATCGTTTCTAGAACGATTAATGACGTAATAGTTCTGCCAAATGCAGTATTAGTCGAACGTGAGTTTGTAAAAATTTGATTTAATCCAGAACAATCGAAAAAAAGCACCTTTAATCGAAAACGCTATTAAAACGACTGATGCAATCTTTTTTGTTTTTTTAAATTTGTGACTTCTTCGATTAAAAAAACATGATATATACATTCGTTTTATTTTTACTGTTGCGTTTAGATTTGTACGTTTCAGATATACTTTCGGAATTTTTTCGAAATGACAATAACCTATCTGCTCCTTTTTAAATTATATTTCTAGATTTATATAATCACATCTCGTGACTTTTCTCTTTACAAATGCGAGGATATATTCGATATATTTGAAGTAGTCTGGTTCTTGGATTCGCTCGTTCTAACCACATTTTCTTATACTTTCTGCTGTTTAACGAATACAAGATATACAATGTCGCGACATAAATCTAGCTTCTCTCCTTTATTTTGTAAACTACAGAAAATAAAACGTAAGTCAAATTTCAGTTAAATGATTCGAACTACTGTTTAATGTAATAGTAATTTCTTGATATAAAAATTACTTACATTTGTCTATAAAAATTCACTGAAATCTTTCCTATATAATAACTGTAAAAAATTATCGGTAAACTCTCAACTATATTAAATTTTTTCAATTTTTGTAAATGTAAAAACTCTAAACTGTATTGTATTTTTTGAATGTTAAATAAAATCAACGTATATTATCAGTATATATTCATACATGGTTTCAGTTTCTCAGAGTACACTTGATTTCTTTGCTTGGAATTTTTAAATTCAGAATGAAATGAGCATATATATTGTGACATTGAGTAAAAAGGAAAAAGAGAAAGACTAGTAGAAAGTATAAAAAATGCGGTTAAAACGGATACTCGTCAATTTATGGTAAAATAATTTTTAATGCTAACTTTTTAATTGATAATTATTGAAATTATTTTTTATAAAAAATACTAATTAATATTACAAAAAAATTGTTCTTAGTGCAAAATCATTAATTGCTTATATTGTAACATAATTATTTTGTAATAATTCGAACTCTTTTGAATCAATTGGTTATATTCTGACTGAAATTAATCCAAGATGGATTAATTATAATTACCAGTTATTGTTAATTGATTAAAACATTAATATATTATTATAAATTGATTATTATTTATCAATTTATAATAGTAATTTATATATATATATTACAAAAAAGGAAATAATGCTATAACCAAAGAATATTTAAATATTACAGAACAAGATACAAAGGATTGAATAGAGATAAAAGGAGAATGAGCGTGAAAAGATAATTTTAAATAATTAATTGGCGAGTTTTAATTGTATAAATAATATAATATATATAATTGTACGAATAAAAGTTAATACTTTTAATTTAAAATGATCAGACATGTACTATGTTTTAATTCATGTCTTATAGTCTAATAATCTTCAAAAAATTAACAGAAATTAATTTTAAATAAATATTAATTGAGTTAGAAATATTATTATGTATTTATAAATATGGCCAAAATACTCGTTAATTAATTACTCCATTTTTTAAATACTTTTTAAATGATATAGTTATCCGTAGCTAAGCAAAAAACTAATAGAAAGAACTAATATTATAAGGACAGGAGAAAGTATGAAGAAAAAGAGAGAGGAAAAGATGTTGAAATACCCTGTGTGGTTCGATCGTGCTTTTGGGCGACTCCGTCCTGCGCGATTTTCTCACATCGGCGTGTCGAGGCGCGGGGGAAGTGAAGCGTTCCGCTTAATCCCGAAGCACACATTGACGCGAGACGATTGTCAATTAACACCGGCGCAGTTTCACGCGCGTAGAAGATTGTATCAGATCGGCGTCGAGATGGTTGAGACACTTCTTTTTCTTTTTCATTGATTCTTCATCCGACATCCAATAAGGGAATTTGTGTTCTAAGATCTTCAATTTTGTGACGTGTTCAGAGGACATTGAAAATAGTATTCGTATCATGAAAACCGCGTTTATCTTCTTGATTTCAGATAAGATTTTAATTTTGTTCTTTTGAAGATTATAGGATTTGAAATGAACACATTACTTAAATTACACATTATTTTACTTATGCGGTGACTCCCTGCACGGTGGTAGTCGCGTCAATGTCGTTAAATCACGATGATTACGGCATTGGTCTTTATTGCTCGGAAGTAGGCAGTTCTCGTTTCAGGGACTTTCGTTTATAGGTACAACGAGACAGAGAGGAACGATACACACTAGGGCTGCTGTTCTACTGTTGACAAGTCATTTTGCGCTCTAAAGATTTTTTAATAGCCATTTAGCACTTTCAAGGTATAGAATGTATAAGAATTCTCCGCTTCACGCTCGACGGGATATTTTGAAAGAAAATAGCGCCAAATTAATTTTTATTTAAAAATTTTAAATCAATTTTTTTATTTTATTTTTTGTTACTTCGAAAGAACTACGAATTGATAAATAGTAATTAAGATATTAATATTATCATTTTGATCAATCAATTAGCAATAATTATATATAACTATAATTTATGTTTGATTTTCATTCCATTTAAAATTGAGAAATATATTTCTTATTTATCAAATAGACGAAAGATTTAAAGAGAAATTAAGATAGATTAAGTGAAAAAAAATTATTTTAAATTTGTTTTGATAGGAAAAAAATTCATATGAAAGAAACTGAATATAAAATTTCAACAAAATATTTAGCAGTTAAATACAATTGAAGCCGTATTAAAAATCTGGATTGTGCTGTAGCTCGTTTTAATTAATCAAATCACTCTGTATTTTTGGAAGCGTTGCACAAATCATTTTGCATCTGTTTGGAATATATCTTGGATCAACCTTGTATCTTATCACAAGTAAAAAGTGTCATTGAATGTTTTGCACTGTCTCTTTGACAACCTTCGATAAAGAAATGGGAGTTTTATTCTGTCATTGGTACTCGAACCGAAGCGTGTTACTCACGGCAGATTAATCGGTCAACGCGATCTCGTAAGCAGTTTCGTGTACAATTATGTGTATTAAATGGTATCCAGTGTGCTCACGTTCGCAAGGACACGTCATGATATGCGGTTCACCGGTTCTCTTTTTTTTTTTTTTTTTTGACGTTTCGAGTGCAAAGCAATTGAACCATACAAATTAACTATGTAAATGAAAAGGTATGTTTCTTAAGTTACAGAGAAATTGATCGGCGGGTGCAAGCGCACCGTACATCATTAATGCATGTGTAGTTGTACGCTTATGTGATAATGGATTACTGGTAGTGATAATCGAGCGGGAGACGCGATTTTACGTAAAACAAGAAATCAAAGATATATCTTGGACGATGTTCATGGTACACGTGGTTCGAATCTTTCGCGTTTTTCGTTGATTCTTTAGCAATGATTAATTCGGAAGAATGTGTACTTGTTGATTTTCTACCAATGCTCGAGTACAGTTGTGCAGAATTTCACAATCTCGTATATTTCGCGCACTATTTTCGAAATATAAAATTTATCATCTTTTGCGTAAAGTTCAACGTGACCCTCGGGAAGCTCGAATTGCGTATAGCGCTTCGTTAGTCGAGCCGGGTAGCTAACGTTAGCGCGCTCGTTGATGAATTATTCAGCGTGCATCACACAAATCCGCGAGAAGTGGAATGATAATCCTCGCGGAATTGTCGGTGCCAAGGTCAAACGCCGAGACGCGCGCTCGCGCGCCCGTTCTTGCGGTTTGGCACTTGTAAAATTTCTCGACAGTCGAATATCCCGTTTAGATTTCGCACACTGAAATTACGCGACATTGCGTAATCGTGCACGACCGCCGCTGCGTTGCACGAGCCACCGCTCGTTGTTTATTGCTCGCTTCATCCGATGCTCTTTCGTGATCTTGTATAAGAGAGACTGCGATACCTAATAGGGAGGGACGCTTTCGTTCTGAATTGAAACATTTTTCGTCTACCATTAGTTTTTACATTTTGGATATATCACTGTGCTCTCTTTTTTTTTTGTACCTTACGTAACAGGAATCTAAAAAGTTTTGCAAATTAACCTTTTTCAAGCTGCTTTCTTTAGAAACGAACGATATTACGTTCTAAAAAGAGAAGATATTTGTCTGTAGAACTTGTTATTCTATTGCAACAAATAAAATATTTGTGCTGAATAAATTATTTTAAGATATTATGCGACAGAGGATCGTAAAGTTCTGTAAAATCGCTTTCTAGCATCGTTCGGATCTACGTAGGGCACTAGGAAAGTTTTGTCATGTGTTTACGTCTCTGCATGGATAATATTTTGCTGACTTTGCTACACGAATGTTCAGTACGTACGAAACACTTGATATTTGGCTTTCGTGTGTGAAAACGATTCTTGCATTGATTTTTGAAGACTTGCATATTTTTGTATATTGACGAGTAATAAAACTTTTTACGAATAGAACTTTTTCCAACATACTCCAAGATTTTCGGTCGTCAAAGAATTTAAAAAATGCGAAAAATTTCACCGTGCGCCCATACACGAGCACTGAGAGAGTTAAGAAATTGCGAAATTTCATCCGCGCGGCGATGCTTTGGAACACTAATCACTGATTTTATCGTTTTTCCAAGAAAGATAATATTTTTTAGAATCTTATGTATTTTCATTTACATAGGCGGAGGTGTGAAGAAACGCAACAGCTAATGGACACCATTTCGCTTCGCGTGTTTAACAATGCAATGCGTGCACATTTGCCTTCGCCTTTGCCTTTGATGCGATGTATTTATATTATCAAGTGGTTGGAGCGCTCTGAACTTGCAATAATATTTATCTGTGGCAAACTGCAAGTCCGCGTATTCTATATATACGGGGTGTCTTGAAATTTTTACTCTTCTTACACCAGAACTAACGCAACAGTGTTTCGCGCGATTTTTCATGCATGTTTTTTTTAATGAATATTTTCTTCGTAACAATTTACAATATTACATCTGTATATATTTTGCAGAAAGTGTTCATTTATTTTCTGCGATTGCAAAATATTCTTGAGAAAATACTAATTATTTTAGATCTTGTGCTATTTACTTTTGATGAAATATTATCCGCACAATTTTTATTTATCGTCCATATTACTTTTTCATAAAAAAAGGCTAATGTTAATAATTTTTTATAATAACCTAAAAATTAAAAACAGTGAACCATTTTTTTACACTAATTTGATTTTAAGGCAGAAGAAAACATTCAGTTATGTGGCATCTTGTATGCCAAATAAAAGTAAAATATTTTATCTTCTTACACTTGAAGGCTTAATCTTACGACAGTGTTTGATCAGTAGTCTGAAATAAATGAAAACATTGTGAGTATTATTCGTAAATTCTCTTTATAGGTATCACTGCATGTCTCGCGCGAGCAGCACATGGTGTGTTGATAAGCAATGAACGCATGTTCGAGAAGATAACGTATGCTTTTTATTAATAACCGTTAAGTGTACCGAGATTATAGGCACTCGTGCTTTTGCATCTGGCCGGGCTGTTGTATTATTAGCAGACTGTATTATTAGTAATTGTTGTATTAACGCTCTTTCTCCTTCTCTCTTCCTCTCGCGTTAATTATATATCATATTATATATTCATTGTCTTCTCGCTTGCTGTTCGCGTGTCTGTTGACAGGTCAATGTCTCACGGAAGCTCTTTTTATGAGCGAGACAATGATCGTAATGATCTAATCGTACTTTCTGGCATAAATAATTATAACTACTAATTAATGTTATAATTTATTGCTTACTTTATTTCATAACTGTGCATAATATATAATTTATCTAATAATATAAATTTAAAATATTGATACAAAGAATTTAATTTATAATTATGTTACAGTTCAAATAGCGATCCAAATAATTAAAATAGTTAAAATTTCAAAGTTCAGATAATTTAAAATATAATTTCAATACAATAATATTAAAATTTTCTTAATTAACGTGAAGTGAAAGTAAACACTGGAAATCCTGAAATTAAAATTAATGCAACTGATGTATATCGAGATGAAGAGACGAAGGAAGAAAGTCTGAAAAACGTAATTGAACAAAGTACATCAAACACTTGTTTTTTATTTGCACAGTTGCGCTAACTTCAAACTTTGGCACATCTATTGTTTTTGACGATTGGTTTCGACAAGCAAGAAAAGAACACTAAGTTCTGATGTATGTTTTATTCAATTGTATTTAAGTAGCTGCGCTAGCTTAATAGACATGGAATGACGAGAATCGATGAATGACCCCATTTGTTACACAGGTGCACTGATGCACCTGCAACGCGCAATTGTACCTTTTTTATAGAATCGCATAACATAGGAGAAGTTTTATATCAGAATAGCATATAAAATATTTCACAAAATATTGTTAGCTTCTGTTAGATATTGGATGCACGCGAGGACCAACATGGAAGTGTCCCAATCATTTTGGCTATATACACTCGGCATTATATGTGCCTTGAGATTAGTGGATTCGCATTCACCGGGCATTTTCGGGTCGGACGCATCAGATCTAAATATTCTTGCATCGTGACTCAGAGAACTGTCTGACAGTTTGACGGCTATCCGTGTTTGACATGTGTGAGAGATATTAAGCATAAAGTCAAAAATTAGATAACGTGTTATGCAATGTTGTTTAGACTTTTTTTCAAGTTATAATGCTCACACATCTAAGCGTGACGCGTCCGATTCTATACCGGAAGAGTCTAATGAATATGAATGTAGCGAATGCTAATTCTTTTAGCGAGACACTTACGTTCTGCATAAGTATTTTTCAAGAACTCGAAAGAAAGAAGAAAAGTTATGAAAAAGACTCATTGTTAGCATATCTTCTGATTATAAAACACAGTTTACGAGCAAGTAATGCAACCTGCGTCTCGTGCAACTCACGAGACGGTTAAAGGCGTAGCTTGTTGATGAAAAAAATTTACAGCTAAATGTAATGCAAGAATCTTGAACAGGAAGTGTAAGGCACTTATCGCGCGTATATGACTCGGCGTTCGCATCGCGCGAATCCCGAACAAATCCGAATTACTCACGCGGTAAAAAAAGCGAGCACGTGGTGCGACGCGCTATATATGTACATATGTATATATTCGTCGCGCTTGTTTACGCTGGCATCCTTACAACAAGACAATTGATTTCGGTCGTAAGATGAGTTGCGCGAGAGAGCGAGAGCGTTGACGACGACGACGACGACGACGACGACGACGACGACGACGGCGACGACGACGACGACGACGACACGGCAGGAGGAGAAGGATGTTGTTGCAACGCGATATAGCGACAGATGTGCACAGTAAGCGTTCGAGTATTATCTTGAAGCTCGTGCGAATTTACGCGACGTTTAAGTGATGTTGCAATCGGATGCTTTATTCGGCCGTATTTAGCCGTGTCGCGTAATTGCCGCTGAATGACTAGGAAAGGATTAAAACCGTAATACCAGCATTCAATATGCTCGGAAAGATATTCCTGCTCGTAAACGCAAGAGTATCGCGAAAAGCTCTCGGAATTTTCCGATGGTTTTCAATTATTCCGATAGTCCGAGCTTTCGAGGCCAAAATCTGAAATTCTTCGTCAGTTCTGCAGATATGTTTAAATAATTTGAAACTTGAATTTTAGATCAAATTACAAAGGTACTGCGTTATAACAAAGGAATGAAATCTGGTCATTCAGTACTGTTTGCGATGTAGACGCGCCAAGATAAGATAACTTGACAATATCTCAGATTAATCTCACCTTACAAATGTAAAGGAGAATGAAATATTTAACTTCTCCTTGTGATAACATGCAACAATGAATGTCTTCGTTTACTGCAGACAAATATATTACGAGAAAATTCTATTTAAAAGGACATAAAGACATAAAGACAAAAAAAAGACATAAAGAGTAAACTTTTACATCTATTTTATATGATAATATTTGTATAATGCGATAATATATAATTTGATCTCTGAGATAAAAATATTTGGTATTACATATTATTGCGAATAAAGTAAAAGAGTTTCTTTTCTTACATTTGTAAAGAATAATTATTACTTATATCTTGTTCTGTTTCATTTTATTACTAATTATAAGATAAACTTATAATATGCGTCATTAATGCTTTATTAGGAATTTTTGCTCTGCATCTTTAATGAAAAAATTGGATAATTTTTTAATCAACAATCATTAAGCGTTCAGACATATAAAGTGCCTGACCGGCATTAATGGCACTAATTGTATCAATCTGACGAGAGAAATCGCCTTGTGTATTTTATATACAAATCCTTCTATTTCAGATGAAAATTGAAACATCTCAAGACATGACGTAGACGGCGGGTGCGTGAGAATCGCCAAAACGACCATCATGAGGAACCTCGCGCCGTAGTTGAGCGATGTTAGTGACTGCCTCCCCGATGGACAATTCGCCGAATACGCTGTCGGTGCTCGAGGAGGAGGCGGCGAACGTCACCGACATCGACGACGCGTTCCCGCCGCACGTCGACACCAGTAACATCGTCATCCAGCCGGAATCGCCCACCAGCAAGAAGCAAGCACTGAAGACCTTCGCCGAGGTAAACGCGCTGCTGCAGGCCGGCAGGAAGCGGGAGGCGAAGCTCATCATACGAGAGAACGCTTGGCCGCTTAACAATGGTATCAGGGCGCAACTCTGGCCGGCGCTTTGCGATCAGCACGCGCTTGGCAAGAACATGCTCGACGGATTCTACTGGGATATGGTGAATCAAGTCTTTGGAACGACAGGTCAGTAGGATGCACCGACACATTAAGAATCTGGTATTTTCGCGCATTTTTGTCGGTGCGCATTCATTCTATCGATCATAAAGGAATGAATAAATGTTATCCATGAAAAAAGACGTAAAATGGAAAAGTTTACCTAATAATTTTATATGAGATAAATAAATATATTTAATGGCATGTGTGTTATTACAAATAAAAGTAAATTTTTTTTCTTACTACATACATGAAATTATCTTACTTTGATTATAAGCTTACTAATTTAGCGAAGAAGAATTTGCTTTATATGTGTTTTATATAATCATTTTTCAATTAATTGTAAGAGGACTAAAATTAAATTTATTTTATTCTAAAAGAATGAAATCCCGTTAAATTCGAGTAATGCTAAAAGGTACATTGACATTGAAACGCGAAAGAGACGTGACTTCCATCGATAGCTTTTGAATCTGAAGATTTTAGACTTTTCAGCGAAACGTTTAGTTATTTCTTTTGTCATTAATTAAAGCTTATTGTACTTGCTTTGCTTCTATATAGAAATGGATTTATTAAAATTTTATATATTTTTTTACAGAATTACCAGAAAAGTCAATTATGCTACCACCATTCGTCGATAGTACACATTGCTTATCTTACAATTTGACAAGAAAAGGTAGAAACGTGGCTGACAGAGTCGTATCGGTGTTAGGATATGCTTGTCCTGATATCACGTACAGCCCATCTCTTTATCCATTAACCGCCCTTCTCTTGCATTTTGTGCCAGGTAAGTTAACATTTAACATTTAATTAAATAAACAATAATTGAATTAGTAACTTGACAAATCAAACACTTATATTTTTATATTTTTTTGTAGAAATATAAATCGATGTAATTAGAAATGATTAGAGCATTATTTGATTATTGATTGTAATTATTTTTAGAAGGTTGATTGTCAGTTGTATTTGCAATTTATAGTATTATTCTTTTGATAAACAGACGATTATGAATGTAATCGACAATTATTAATATGTTAATGCCAGTTAATGCGACTTTACGCTTTTAAAGTTATGCTAAGTCCTCAAATATGGAAATTTATGATAATAAAGAATCAGCATGCTTTCAACAAATCGCTACTTATGTTATTTTTGATACCTTATTTTTCAGAAGAGGAATGTTATCACTGTATGGCCACTCTGGTAGCAGCCAAAGATAAAATGTTCATCACACAAACCAAACTTCTCTACGAGGTTACGTGGAAAACAGTAGAACAAATCACTAAAAAACATGTCGTAAGTAGCGAATTCTTAAAACTGATTATGATTATCTGTTTTCGAGTTATTTTTTTACTCCAGATACTGCCGTAACTCTAAAAGGTTTTGATAGACCTGAAAGAGATAAACTCAAGAAGAGATAAACTTAAAGAAAATATTTTGTTGCTATTTTTTAATAAATTGCTAAAAGTTATAATAACTAAATGATAGCTTTGAAGAAAAGTTTGTTACATTATATGTATGAGACAACTTGTGTTTTTTTAATTAAGTATTTTAACATCTAATCTCGTAGTAGAATTTTTATCAATCTATATCTCTTTCAATCAATATTACATTCAGTTAACACACATTTAAGTAAAAAAATGCAATAGATATATAAACGAGATATCAATCGTACGAGTAAAGTTATTTGCTATTAAAGATCTACAATTAGCAATAAACAGATTTCTTGCAAGGATTAAAATATAATTTCGAGAGCATAATTTTAACAAAAGTAATTTTTAATGCCGTTGATATGCGGAAAAGCATTTTATATCTATCGCTTGTACCGCTTTGTTTATTCACGCGCAAATATAAAGATTATTATGCGCATTCATGGCATTTAAATTCATCGGAGTTATATCGGTTTTAATTCACAATTTTAAGAAATCAGCTGCTGTACATTTAGCGAGGCATTGCTCCGGCTCAAGAGCAGAAAGAATCTACATGGACTGGATCTGGTGGATTCTTCAACTTCTTCCATTTCAACATCTAGTCAGGGTTATGGACTGTTTTCTCCATGAAGGCATTAAGGTGAATTTTTTACATTTCGTCCAATCTTATATAAATCCTAACAGATACCATAAATTTTTAAAAATATATAGGTTCTCTGTGTTGTCTAGTTACTACAATTTGCCATGTTCGAATAGTTTAAAAGTAGATAGTTTAAGCTCCAAGCTAAAAGAGTGAAAAAGAACTGTACAATTTGAACGAGATTGATCGGAAGAGATTCGATTATATCTATTTCCCTTGAATTCAAATTTCAACTGCTCGGATATAAATATCTGATCCATATCTTCGAAAGATCTAAACAATTTAAGGTCCGAGACAGAAATTTTCTCGATCTGTTTAAACTGTTCAATCATCGCAGAATTCAAACACAGACATCGAGCACTGAATTCAAACTGTTTAGAGGAAAATTCCGAGCTTGAGTTCTCGTTGTGCGTTCAAGCAACCAGTGAAGGAACAGCATGCGAAACTGCCCATCTATCGCACATGTGAAGTATGAGAAAAATTGGCGTTCACCCAACCGACAGATAAAGATGAACCGCGTGTTACGCGAACTGTGCAATGCACTTATGTTCTAGGAATAGGGCAAATGTTAAATTCGACGATTGACTCGGTGCCAGCGGAAAGTTGTTTTGCAGACATTTTTGCACACCGATTATGTCGTACATAATATTGTTCTTTTCAGATGTGATTCGTACAGTTGTAAATAAAAAAAAATTGCAAAAATGCAAAAATTTTTTCAATAAGTATCGGAATGCGTGAAAATGTGTCCATAACTGTACACGAAACAGTTTACTATTAAGTCAAATATTATACCATTGACTCAAATATTATATATCAACCTGAAATTTGAAATTTTATTAGCTCATCGATAGATAGACACTGCTTGTTTTAATAAAGATGCAAGCAATTTATTTTATTTTTGAAAGTTTATGTACCAACTATTGAAAAATTATATAAATATACTTACGGATAAAAGTTAAGTTATTTATTTACATTTTTTATGTATGTTGTTAATTTTATATTAAAATTGTACAAAATATAAGTATATTTTATTTGTAAAGCGTTAGGAAAATTTTATAATCTTAATAAACGTATGGTTATATAAGAAGTTACGTCAAAGAAATTTTTTCCCCACATAGAAGCATAATTTCTTAATTCTATCATATAATTGTTTTTTTAATAATGGTCTTAGCAGCAATTATTACAAATAAATTTCTGTTTTCAGGTCTTCTATCGGGTTGCTATGGCTATAGTTTTATTATTCTATAAGCACTCTTCGTCGCAGAGTTCAGAATGGATGAATGAGATTTCGAAGAACGGTATAGACGCTGCTCTATCAAAGTTCTGTAGACAAATGCCAGTAAGTAATAAAATCTAAATCTATAATATAATAATTGCGTTTATTTGAGACTTTAATGTTAAACCGAATCATTGTGGACTATTGTAGAAATTAAGAGGATCTTTTTCAAATGATACAAAATCACTTGACTTGCGAAAGAAAAAATAAGTATTGAAACAAAAGGGAAATAAATACCTTTCTTCTATGTAGCTAAGATTATTCCCGTTAATCTTCAGGATGTAACATCGATCTGTGGAATCGCTATCCAATTTTGAAGAGTTGTGTTGAAGAGTAATGTAGGCGAGCAAGTGAGGACACTGTGGTTCTCAATAATCGGTCATCCGTGATCGAGGGAAGAGCAGATATGTAACCCGTGGCTATATATCAATTGAGACGCTGAAAATATCAAGTAGACCAAGTCTAATTTCGGTAAATTTTAAAATCCACAGAAACTTGCTCCATTACTTTACTTCCAATATAAATAGATCATTCACAATGGAAATGATTCCACTGCTAGATAGTGTTAACAGATCTAAAGTAATTAAAAATCTAGATTGAATTATTTACAAAGAAATACATACATTAATTTATTTTATTCGTTTATTTAATTTTACCCGCGAATAAATGATTACAACGCAATAATTTCCTTTTGGTTTCGTGGAGAATCGTATCGCGTAATTTGATACACTGCATTTTCAACGCTTCAATTGTTTGTTTCTTTGTAACACTATCTTTTGTAAACATGCTGCTCTGTGCAATACAAACGCCTGTGAGATCGCGTGTTATATACAATAACTTTTCCAGCTGGTCTTCAATTCCAACTTAAAATATAAAAATTAATGAATGACAATTGGTAAATTGCTATATCACACATCTGCTCTTTTATTCTGAACGAATATATGTCCTGAACCGAAATGTAATGCGACTTTTTTTACCACGATACTTTCTTTTTAATTAATAATGATAATTAAGTAAAAACATATAGATTTGTTGATAAAAATTTCCTCAAATTAAGATTTTGTCTCAAAATTGGTGTTTATTTGCGTTTTTAAAATGTTTAAGAAAAATAAGATTTTGTGTGTGATCATGTCTGCATTATAAGTAAAAATAATAATAATAAAATTAATATATAAAATTAAACACAGAAAATATTCTTGTTCTAAAGTAAATAAGTTTCTTATCATGCCGAATTTAATATTTTTTTTTTTAAAGAAGCCTACATTTTATATTTTGTAAAGTTTTAATTTTGAGGAAAAATATTCAAAGTCTCTCATGCAATTTGCTAATTTTTAGGTGACACCTGCCAAGTTTCTGCGCACTGCCTTCGGGATTCGCGGACTCAGCTCAGCATACATATCACGAGTATTTCTACGCACGGAAATGGCTCTCAAAAGTAAGAGTGTCTTGACGGGGTCCCGATCCTTGGCCAGGTCGCGGTCGACGGACAATCTACCAACCAGTCAGTCACAAGTCAACATTCAGATGATGTCACACACGCTTACGATTCGAGAAGTATGTTATTCATTTAGTTCTCTTCTTTCCTCAACTCAATTTCGCATTTATTTCGATTTATTAACAGCAACATGCCAATTATCGGCATAGGCTCCGTTCCTGCAATCGTAGTTACGTCAAGTTGTCCGAAAACTAATTTGCAAATACGATTATAATTTTAATTGACAGAGAACTTTTACAGGTGCAAATATAAACTATTTATAGTTTCACATGGTATGCAATATTTTCCTGTTCTAATATAAATGGCACCTCTTTTTTTATTTCGTCAAAGGAGATGGACCATAATAAGCAAAACTTAATGGTTTTAGCTATTAAACACGTGTTTTATTTATTATGTTTTATCTCGTTTAGTTTAAGAAATAAAAAGGGATCACTTGTGCTGAATTGCACTATATATTTTTTTTTACTTTATGAGTATTGAAACCGATATAATTTCGTTGAGCTCGATGTTCGATGTTACAGGTACGCGAGAAAAGACCTTATGCTGATTATCGCGTTTCGTTAGCTCACGGATAAACGTAAGGATCATTCTTGCATGCCTGTGATGTCCAAACCTCAACTCGATGAAATTTCAGGATGCCCAATAAATCATGATACGACCATAATTATGAAGCAATTTCTCGTGAAAAAAAATAAAAGGTATTTGATAAATTTTTTTATTTTGATTTTTAATTTTGATCACGTAGTTTTTGGGAGAAAGTATTTTAAATATGAAAACAGTGTTCATCGAATTAATTGACATGACGTATCGACATTTGTGTGCATCCATTGTGCAGTAATATTTTCCAATTTTAAACTTTGTTTGCATGATATTGTGTATTTATTATAACATGTCAAATACTGATTTTCATTAATTACTTGGAATAACGAGGTAATATCGTGTACATTATATGTCCATGACATTAGTAGAATTTATAATGATAATCCTTAAATCGTAATTTATTATTAAAAGGAGCTTGATTAATGTATAAGTACTAATGTATATATTCACACAGA